TTTTTAGAAAATATTTAACCGAACAGCGATGTAAAAATATTAAAGTGAACTCAGCAGCGTTAAAAAATATTTTATAAAAATTCTCAAACACTTTGATTTGTATATTTAAAAAATCCGACTGTTGTAGTTTTTCAAAATTGCTCACATATTCTTCTAAGGATACTAATGTCCCAGAAAAAAGAACACTAACCGAGAATGGATTAAGTTCATAAACTGAAGTCCTCATTGCTTAAGATTAAAACACGTTATCTCAAAATTTTTGTTTCGTTTTTATCTAAAATCATTGAAATAGTATTGTGTGAGTTCAGTTGGAGCTGATGTGAATATTCCTCTTCTTCTTCTTCGTTCTTAATTTTTAGTGTTGGAAGGGATCGAGCCTTAACTGCCAGATGGTTTAAACTCGAGATTTTTTTCGAATTTATCAACCATGAGCTATTGCCGACTCGACCATGCCTCCATCATAATTAAGAATACGTGTCAAATGGTTATGCTTTTCTTTGTGGACAAACTACAAGGCAGCAGATGTTTGATTTTGGAGTTGTCTCTCATTGAAGAGTGGATGTCCCCAGCTAACGAGCCTCATCTACCCGAGGGTTCGAAGTCGAGACTTTTCGGTTCAGCAATCATGAGCTTTACCGACTCGACCACGCCGACCCCTGATGTGAATATAATACTTGTGGCTGGACCTTTAACATACATTTCTACATCATGACGTCAAAAATTGTCTCCTTATATACACAACCTCAGCCGTATTTCATAGTTTTACGATCTAGACCAACCTATACCAAAGTTTAGAATTTTACCAACTAGACCGATCTATACCAAAGTTTAGAATTTTACTACCTTTATTGAACCATACACATATTAGAATTTTACCAACTAGACCGACCTATACCAAAGTTTAGACTTTTACCAGCTAGACCGACCTAAACCAAAGTTTAGAGTTTTATCAACTACACCACCAAACACAATTTTAGACCATGTGTTTACTCGTATGGTGGTGTAACACCAAGTGTGAACTCAGCAGACGACCAGCTGTGATCCCATCAAATGTTAGTAGTATATCAGGTAACATTTGTTATTATGGAGGAGGTGGAGGTGGAGACATGTTATATAATAAAATAGGGTGGATGAGGTGGAGGTGGCCTGGGAAAATGACATAAAGTAAAATACTCCAGGCCCCTGCTGGTGGAGGAGGTAGTGAGTGAGGGTTAAAATATGGGTCTGCTATCTGTTGCTAAATATCTCATTACAAGTTTATTATAGATTCAATGAGCTAGCTGGCCACACAAAGAACAGATGGCGCCTTTTGCACCAACGTTTTTCAATACGTGTTGTCGTTTTGGACTCAATTTGCGAAATCCTTTTTTTGCTATTAAATTTTTCAATGATTATTAAAACATAAAAAAAAATAATAATAGAGTAAATGTCTTTATTTCTTCGATAATATTTCGCAGAGTTTTAAAATACAAAATTTAAAATGATAAAATGATTCGCAAAGTTTTAAAATACAAAATTTAAATAGTTCTACCATATATTTAAAATTAAACAAACTAATTAAAAACGACAAACAAATTAAACAAACTAATTAAAAAGAAACTAATTAAAAAGAAACTAATTAAAAAGAAACTAATTAAAAAACAATTTAATTAAAAACAAACTAATTAAAAACAAACTAATTAAAAACAAACTAATTAAAAACAAACTCATTAAAAGCAAACTAATTAAAAACAAGCGAAAAAAAAATTATGATGTTGAGGTTTTGTTATAAATAATTTAAATAGTACTACCATATTTTAAAAATTGAACAAACTAATTAAAAACAAGCGAAAAAAATCGATAGACTTGTAATAAGATTTTTAGCAATCGATGGCGGATCCATATTTTAACCCTCACCTACCACCTCCTCCACCAGCTGGAGACTGGAGTATTTTACTTTATGTCATTGTCCCAGGCCACCTCATCCACCCTATTTTACTATATAACATGTCTCCACCTCCACCTCCTCCATAATAACCAAATGTGACCTCATCTACTACTAATGTTACGTCACAGACCCTGTTTCCATTACCCCCCCCCCCCCCCCACACACACAGCGTCAAACCCAGGAAAAGAGAATCTAAAAATAAAAAAAAAATATCTGTGAGTCACCACGTTCTTCAAAAGTTCTGGATTTTAAAATACGCATTTTTGGTTTTAAAAAATAACTTTCTTAAAACATGTATTTTGAATAAGAGAATCAAGCGTAACTTATAATTAGCGAAACATTTTTTTTTGCGTAAATCTATCTATCTAGCTATCTTATACTACTAAAACTCAAGTTTGTATACATGTTTGAATATTTATTTGTTTGTCTGATTTGGTACTGTAAGGAAACTGCTCTATATGGGGGGGGGGGCTGTACAATAGTATGTAGGTAGAGAACAATTTTTGATTGTAGACAGACTGTAAATCACACATTTATTTAAAGACGTTAATTAATTTATTGATTTATTCATAGGTAGATTAACCACATTTATTTTAAAGTTTTAGAACAATGGCTTAACTTTGACTGAATAGTGACGTTTTTGATAACTAATTTTTTTTGTTTGTTTTTTTTTTTTATTTTTTATTGAGGAGAATCTGCATTAAGTTTAGCGCTGTTAAATAGCATTTTGGGTGGTTAATTTTGTTTTTTCTTAAACACACTGTTAATTACAAACTAAGTTAAAGTCGTTAATTAATTTATTGATATATTCATTGGTAGATTAACCACATTAATTATAAAAGCTTAGAACAATTACTTTAGTAATAGTAAAAAGATTTATTTTCTTTTCACAACAATGTTTTCAATTATTTTTTCTTAAGCCCTATATGTGAATGCTAAGGTTGACTATCAGGACCTTGCGGGGCACAGGGCAGGTGAAGTAGAGTTCACCTGTTTCTATGTTCTCAGCATATGAAGGGATAGTGTGGTCAGAGTCATGCTCGGCCGGAATCGTTTTTTTTTTAATACAAACATGTCTGAGACTGGGCAGGTGAAGTAGAGTTTTTAAAATATAAAAAACGTCTTTTTGAATGTGGGGTCTGGTTATTTTGGGATGATAAGTGCTGGCAGATGTGATGTCATTTATAGATGACCCCCCCCCCCCCCCGAAACCCACAGTTATCTAACTAGATAACGGGTAGTGTAGTTCTCACTACAATTCGCGTAAGCCAAATGTACGATAAAGATAAGCACAACATAACTAACAACTAAAAGGGGAAAAAATAATTCCACATACCAATATAATTTAAAAAAAAAATATATACATATATTATTGAAAAAATAATGGCCAACTGAATGACATACTGGCCAGTCACGATTTCTGGCTTTTACAATATTTTTATACTTATCAGTGACCAATTATAAGACCTAATGACTACTAAGGAGCTGTGTCAGATATGGATAAAAAATTTTAATCTAAGCAGAGATAGTGAGGATGCAGTGACTGTGGTTGTCGCCCCGACTACTCAACTCACTACTAGATTGAATCCCTTTCGTTTATTTTAAATGGAGGCGAGCGAGTTGACGAGATTCCTTCCATAATATTGTTGACATGGAATAAAAACGTGCTTTTTAGATTTAGACCGTAAAAAAAAAAAAAAAAAATAAAAACTTAAGCCTAAAATTAATTTAGAAATTTTATATTTTTAGAATAAATGCTATAAAAGTTGCAAATCCAGAGAACTTGAAAATAATTTGTTGAGTTTAAGGCTACATTTCTATTTATTTTCATCAAGCCTAAGTTATAACCGGATGTTTCACTTTCGTAAGACAAATATTGATTGGCTGTACAGTAACTTAGTGATCGATAACTATTTGTTTACAAAACTTTGCAGATTAAGTTTTTAAATAACAATGCAAATTTAAAACCCCATGACCTAGTTTTCTATTTTTAGCTTACAATGTGTACAATAAAATCAATGGCGGCCTATCCAATAGCAGGATGCCATTGTTTATATCGCCATTACACGTGAAAACCAAATTGTTTTTGCTTTTTTTTAAATTTTTATTTAGTTACCGAAAATATTATAAACATCAAATACATCCAATCTTTAGTAAAGTCCAAAAAAAACCAGACAGACAGGATTTTATAACCATATTAATTGTAACTACGCTGTGCATGATTTTTAAATGAATTTATACACCTCTCAAATACCTTTGAGACTTTTCTCGCTGGTGTCCATTGAGCGATTCATTGAGGTAAAATTCCTTTGCAGGAGTCTTATACTTACAACCCAGTGACAGAAATTATTTGGCAGCAGCGACACTTAGCTACGGAGTTCACGTGATGTGCGCAACACCAAGGTACGTCATACATAAAATACAGGAAGTGACGTCATTGAGAGGTACTAGTAAAAACTTTAAACATATGTATGCAAATAATTATACCCAACATGTTACGAAACAAAACATTTTGTGGATAAATAATGTATATATATATATATATATATATATATATATATATATATATATATATATATATATATATATATATATATATATATATATATATATATATATATATATATATATATATATATATTTATTTATCAGGCGACTCTGTAAAGTCTGTCACCAAAGATTTGAAATATGGTCCATTACCGCGTCGGTTTACGTTTGTGAAATTACACTAAAGTGTTGAATACACTTTTTATTGTGTCTGTTGTTCAGCCAGGTTTTGAAATCACGAATCGAAGCTCAAGGCTAATGAAATTTAAACATCACATCCGCTAGGTTGCGCGCGCATTGCAGCCTGTGTTTATAGGGTGAGTTGTTTTGACGTGCGCAGTTGGATTGGTGTGTTGTTGGTCGACATCTGAATAGTCGTCACAGACTTGGTGACAGGTGTTTTGTCTGGCTGGTGTCTGGCTAGTTTATGGTGTTCGACTAGCCTCTGATTTCTGGCTAGTGATTGGTTTCCGGCTAGTCTAGCCTCGAGGTTTGACGGCCCCCGGCTACACGGGTGTGTAGGTCTTTGAGTTGTTGACACACGTCGTCTTCGTGCTGGTCGTCTCTTTCTCGGTCACCGTGAACCGGATGTTCGTCCGCTCGTACTCGAGCTTTCCGTGCAGCATAAGAACCTCCGGAAACTTCGACGAAAGTTTTCCGACAAAAACGCGTAGAGGATCGGGTTGACGCAGCTATTCATGTAAGCCAAGCAGTTAGCCGCCATCTGAATACTGATGTAGGCCGCCGACCACTCTACATTTTCCTGGAAATTCTGCGTGAAGAGAATCATCTGGATGGGGAGCCAGCATATAGCAAAGATGACCACTACAATCACCACCATTCGCGTGACGCGTTTCTTGGCTCTGATGCTTTCTGCGGATTGGTTGGCGCCGCCGGGGACGACGCCGTACAGCAGACGCTTCAGCATCAGCCCGTACAAGAGCATGGTGATGCCAAGAGGGATGACGTAGCCGAAGAAGAAGAAGGATCCAAATAAAGCCTTCCCGATTCTTTCGTTTTCAAGGTCGGCGATGTTTATACACGTTGACCTGTTCTCGTTCCCGAATACGTAGTGCATCTCCTCGAACTGTATCAAGATTGGGATGTTCCCGCATAGGATGATGATCCAGATGATGGCGATAGCGAACCAGGTGTTTCTTTCTGATCGAAGCGTCATCGAACGTATCGCGTGAACGACGGCTAGATATCGATCTAAGGACATGACAACTAGCGTGTACACGCTGGCGTAGGCGCAGACGTACACAGCGTACTGAGAAACCTTGCAGCCGATGTCGCCGAATGGCGAAACCGACAAGGCGTAGCGCGTGGCAGTGATGGGTACACAGAAGAGTATGAAGAGCAGATCAGCGACGGCTAGGGATAGGATGAGGATGTTGGTCGTGTTCCTCATGTGTTTGTCGGCTAATACGACCAGAATCACCAGCGAGTTGCCGAAGAGCCCCAGCACGCAGATGAAGCCGAAGATGGTGGGGATGATGATCTCGACCATCCTCTCGAACTCGCGACTCTCCGACCCATTGAGAGGCGGGGGGAGGGTGGAGTGATTGCCCATGACGTTAAAAACATTGCTTATATTGTCAGTTGGGTTGGGGTTTATTATGTGGGCATCTGCTAAACTATTTGACGCCAT